GCTCCGGGAACTTCTGTTCGTCGAGTATTATTGGGAAGCCCATATTGACTTCTTAGGGCCATTATTTTGGCTGTATGTACCTCCCACATGTATTGAAATTTGAAACATTGGAATGAACACAGAAAGTTGATTATAAATAAATTGAGGGTAGTCTGTAGTAATAATCTGGATTATAGTAATATTAACGTCTACTGTCACGGATTAGAGATTTTAAATTTGTTTTATTATTATTATGTAAATATGTATGTAAATAAATAAATAACGAATAAAAAGCCCGTTTAATTTACAATCACAAAAAAAATAATAATATACAGCTTAGATTTCTTATATTTTATACATTATTTTTATCTTGTTATCCTGTATATCCTAGCTACCTTCAGTACCGTCGATCGGAACCCCTTCACGAGTAAAGGCCTCCTCCAGGTTTTTCCAACAGACTCTGTCCATGGCTTTCTTTCTCCATTCGCTTCCTGCTACCGCTTCTATTTCTTCTATCCACATTTTTTTTTGGGGCGCTTTCTTCTCCTTCTTCCACTTAGTCCTTTCCATATAGTTGTCTTTAAAGGTAACCTTTTAACCTTTTACCTGCGTATCTTGCTATATGCCTTTTTAATATGTAAGTTAAGAATAATAAGAACCAAATTGTACTAATAATTTATTTATATATAAACTAGCTACCCCCGCGAACTTCATTTCTCCTTAATGCCTAGCCTACCTTTTTAGTATTATTTATATTTACTGTTCGGTTTTCCGGAATGAAAACTTTTTAGGTTTTTCTGTGATTTTTCTCTATATAAACCTCAGATTTCAAGTTATAAGTTCTTAACTAACAAATAAAAAATAAGGGTTGATCGTAGAGGGTAGATGAAAATTAAGGGTTGTATGTATATTTGTATGCTATATCATAAAAAAATAAAAACAATTTTTTTTTTCTAAAAATTAAAAAAATACTTTTTGGGGTGAACACGTTCACAACACGAGGATTTTATACACAAAGAGATTATTTCATTTCCTTACATTAACTTACTGAATGTCAACGACGTGAGCAAAGATCAAAGTTGATATCGTCCTCACTCCTTATAATGAAGATGTGAAGGGTAAGGTCGATGAAGTGCGTTTTATTATGGAAATTTCCTCGTTGGAACTGTTATTACTTTATGGCTGTATAAAGGAAATGTGCGACTATCCTGAGGTCGTAGGTTCGAACCCCGGCTGAGAACCAATGGATTTTTTTTCTATATGCGCATTTAACATTCGCTCGAACGGTGAAGGATTGCATCGTGAGGAAATCGGCTTACCTTAGACTCAAAAAAGTCAACGGCATGTGTCAGGCACATGAGGATGATCACTTACTTGTCTATAATCATGAAACAGCTACAGAAATCTGAGGACGAGACCTAATAAGCACCACTTTTTATTTTTTAATGGATTGAAGACAAAATTTGTTTAATAGTAATTTCAACTAACTAATTTATTTATATATGTAAGTATGAAATTATTTTTTTGTTATTCTCTATGTCATTATTAGCTCTTTAAAATGGGTTACCTGTATTTAGTGAAATTGTTAATGGTATTGCCAGTAGGTAAGGCTTTTTTCCACTACTGAGCGTTTTTAAGGCAGTTTCTGCCCCGCACCACCACTATAAGGAAACAGCTGCTCATTGAAGTATTTCTGAAATACTTAGGATCCTTCAAAGAGCGTACCAATTCTGAAAACCGGCAACGCACACACGAGACCTCTGTCATTAAGAGTGTCTTTTGGCGGCGGTATCACTTACCATCAAGGAGCTGCCTGCCCGTTTGCCCCCTGTTCTAAAAGAAAGTATTTTAATATAAATACGAAGGTATGTTCATTGTTATGTAGAGGTTCTTATACTATTTTATCTAATATCATTAAATTTCTATGTCATGTTCGGTAAACAAATAATTGGCGCCAAAGCTATCGCAGCCACAGACTACTATTACAACGGAACGCCTTCTATCAAAAAATTTAAATAAAACTCCTTGGTATCGTAAACTTCCTAGAATTATAATCTGTGTTTTAATGACGAATTAACGCACCTTTGCCCCTGTGCTATACGTTTTACTACAATTTTTTCCCATCATTATGAGCTGCAACAAGTTGTAACAATTATGACGCACAACGTGTACGACATATGTGGTAGACAGAAGCAATAAATTCACAGCTATATATTACATATAGCTGTGAAATTATTAATTATAACTGTCTCAGTGATTTCTTAAAAAAAAATATAGAACTCACCAGGAGACTCGAAGTGATATCGCCGCCCATGGACACTCAATGGGAAAGGCTCGTGAGTCTTTGCCAGCCTTTTAACAATTGGTACGCATTTTCTTGAAGAACCCCAAGTCGAATTGGTTTAGAAATAACAGAGGGGCAGCTGGTTCCACATAGTGGTAGTGCTCGGAGACTGCCTTAAAATACGCACAATTGTGGAACGACGGACGTTGGACCACGAATTACTATAGGAAATCGTATCGTATAGTTCTAAAAGTAAAAATTTATAGCATAATTCCAAGTATAATCATTATTATTTATGTAAAGTTGCGTGTAACGAAAATTGATGTTCTACCATACTGAAATTTGTCGCATTAAACTATTTACTGATTATCTTCACCATAGATAGAACTGAGAAACAAACTTTGATGAAAATTAGTTTTTATGTCTTTATTGATTCTCTTCAAATATCTATCTATATCTTTTCTTTGATCTATATTTTCTTTTAATTTAACAGGGGCAAAAGGGGCAGCAGACTCACCTTATGTTAAGGGATACCACCGCCCATAGACGCCGCCCCTTTTCTTAAAGGACCGGTTGAATTGGTTGGGAAATACTTCATTCAGTATTTTAGAACTAGAAAACCTCTTTGTCTAATGGGTTATGGCAGACATTTCTCCAAACGTCAGGAAACTGTTATATAACCGAAGGTAAACGGGCAGGAGGCTCACCTAATATTAAGGGATACCACCACCAGACACTAACATTAACATTGCCAGCGCGCTCGCTAGTGCGTTGCCGGCCCTTTATGAATTGGTACGCTCTTTTCTTGAACCCTAAGTAAGTAAGAAGAAATGGTAGCTAGTATTTCAGATCTCGAAGACCTCTGCTATGGGTTATGGCAGACATTTCTGCAAACGTTTTATTTTTGGCCGAACCGTAATAATAATAACAACGGCGCTACAACCTCTTTAGGTCTTGGCCTCAGATTTCTGACTTTGTTTCATGATCATTTTTAAATCTAATAGGCAAGTAGGTGATCAGCCTCCAGTGCTTGACACACGCCGTCGACTTTTTGGGTCTAAGACATGTCGGTTTCCTCACGATGTTTTCCTTCACCGTTCGAGCAAATGTTAAATGCGCACTTAGAAAGAAAGTCCATTGGTGCACAGCCAGGAATCGAACCTACGACCTCAGGCATGAGAGTCGCACGCTGAAGCCACTAGGCCAACACTGCTCAACTGCGGCCAAACCGTAAGACCGTCAATTATACCCAGGATCTTCTAAGTATACACAATAATGTTAATTACGCCAATACGATTGGTTAAATTGAATAAAACAAGTCTTAAAGTGATTCTTATTATAAGAATTTATATGGAAAGGTTACTCTTAGCAAAAACAGTATGTCGAATTATATAATTATTGATATTAATGGAAAACCTGAGCTACTCTCCGTGGGCTAAATAAAACAAAAATATTATTATTCGTGTAGGTATAAATTGAATCGAAAAATCGTTACGTATTTACGTACTTGGCAAAACCATTTTAACTTACACTAAGGGAACACTAAGTATAGAAAAGGAGAAAGAGAATATACATAGTTTAGCTTTTTCCACCCTATTATATCTATTGCTGTCAACATCCTATTTTCTAGCTTTTATTCTATCGCTCCTTTGTGTACAAAACAACAAAATTCAGTTACAACGTTATTCTTGTATGGGCTTGGTTATAAGTACAAAAATCAATTTGGTTTTCTAACATTTTATATAGTGAACTATTGTATTACGGTAAGTTGCGTTGCAATATATATAATACATTATATATAATATATTTAATAGGACGAGCAAATGAGCAGAATTGAAACGCTGTCCATGGACACCTGTAACGCCAGGTACATCGTAGACAGTACAAAAAACATATACGCCACTTCTAAAATAAAAAATAAATCAGTGGTGCTACAACCTTTTTAGGTCTGGGCTCCAGATATCTGTATCTGTTTCATGATCATTTGTGAATCTAATAGGCAAGTAGGTGATCTGCCTCCTGCGAGGACACACGCCGTCGACTTTTTGGGTCTAAGGCAAGCCGGGTTCTTCAAGATCTTTTCCTTTACCGTTGGAGCGAATGTTAAATGCCCACATAGAAAGAAAGTCTATTGGTGCACAGCCGGGGCTCGAACCTATGACCACAGGGATGCGTGTCACACGCTGAAGCCACTAGGCCCTCACTGCTCCTAGTTAATATTAATTTTTATTAAAATTCAACATACATGACAGTTCATAAGTTAAAGCTTGCGCCTTTACAGGCAAAAGGCGTTGGTAAATATAATAGCACAGGTCCGTTATAAGCAGTTTTGCAATACTAGGCGCCTGAACCTTGAGTTAGTGCGTTGTAATCTCGTCTTACCAATAGATGTTTCTATCTACAGTGTGGCTGTGGCTACAAATCACTGCGAAAATATCACACCCTCAATCACGCTAACTTATTCCAACAGCTAAGGAGATATACAACGTTTCGATCTTAGCAACTGGAGCCTTCAGGCTAGTCGTTAAAGGTTGAAGAATCATTCCTTTAGGTCAAAGGAGACATCAAACCGTTCGTTCTTCACACAACTCGCAATAAAATATTTTATACCCAAAAATCACGTACTTTGGACAAGCAAGTTTTTCGATTTAGTTCTTTTGGAGATACATTACGGTTTAAATAGAAAATGTTTTTTTTTACAGGCGTTATTAATGTATGTGAATATTTTTAGAACAAAATGAAGATCCTGGCTGTTTTATCACTGATATTTGCAATCTGTTCTTGCGATAATACAACCTATACAACCAAGTATGACGATGTGAATTTGGATGACGTTTTGGCAAGTGACAGATTGCTGACTGGTTATATCAACTGTCTTCTAGATAATGGGCCTTGTACACCCGATGCTAAGGAATTGAGAAGTATTATTTTATTTATTTAATTACGTAATATTTTGGTATAGTCTTAAATTAACTTTAAACTTTATATGCCAAAATAAGACCTCTGTAAGACTGGGGTTACATACCTTAGTAGATTGGGTCTTAAAAATATATAATCTAAAGCACTATTCAGTATATAATATATATCACTAAATCGTATTTTTGTGACTATATCACGAAAAAAAGGGTGCGTGTACTTATGTACGCGCGTAAGAAGTTATGGCATTATTAAAAATAGTTTTTCATTGCATGCAAATAATTAATTACAATTAAATAATCATAGACTGGAAAAGGAGTCATTATAGTCAATAAAGTTCAGTTTACATTTGAAAAATTAAATAAATATATATTTATTATTATTCTCTTACATTAAGTGTAATATAAATTCTATTATTATTCGAATGTTGTTTTTAAATTATGTCCAATGCCGTAGCATCTTCCGTGGGCAAATTCATTCTGTTAATAATTATGTGTCACGGTGCGCGCGCGTCGTAAAATTTCACTCTCATCAATTTTTCATAACGCGCCTAAAGCAGTATAACTTCAAAATTTTTAATATCGCATTATAAAATTCCTAAAATCTAATCTATTTTGAATATTAACGCATATTTAAACCTTTATAATATCCGATTTAATTTATCGTGGTATTAATATTGAATACGAAGATTTTACGTTCCCTTTTTTTATCACAGAAAACCTTCCTGATGCCATACAGAATGACTGCAAGAAGTGTAGTGATCGCCAACGAGAGGGTGCTGATAAAGTGATGCAGTTTATCATAGACAATAGACCCGAAGATTGGCAAACCTTGGAGGAAAAGTAATTTTTATAGTTTTCTTATAATAGTATATGATTAATTTTCCAGGCTCTGAAAGTTTAAAAAAAAGGATTTTTACGCTGTTGAAATAATTTAACAACAAATCATTTGCTAATTTATTAATGAATAGATATCGTCATTGTTATAGGTATTTTATGTAAATGTGAGCTGTGTTGGCTAAGTTGCTTCAACGTGCGACTGAGGTCTTAGGTTTGATCCCTGACTGTGCACAAATTGACTTTATGTCTATGTGCGCGTTTAACATTCGCTCCAACCGTGAAGGAAAACATCGCGAGGAAACCGACTTGCCTTAGACCGAAAAATTCGACGGCGTGTGTCAGGCACAGCAGGCTGATCACCTTCTTGTCTATTAGATTGACAAATGATCATGAAACAGATACAGAAATCTGAGGCCCACAACTAAAAAGGTTGTAGCGCCACTGATTTATTTTATTTTATATTTAACTTCAGTAGAATTAAAATTAATAAATTGAAAAAAATAAAGATTTATAAAAGCCATAATTTCTCTGAATAATTATTAAGCATATAATATTTTATTGCTGTCGCTCGTGTTATATTCCAAAGAAATTATTAGAAACAATTAATTAACTAAACAAGGTTTATAATAAAACAATTTGTTTTCAGATTCAATCCTGATGGTAGTTACAGGCTTCAGTACTTATCGAGGAAAAACTTCTTAAACTCAACCGAGCCGTCAATAAATTAATAAAATAATAGACAGAAATTAAGACAATGGTCAATTTATTGGTGGAAAACTGTTTTTGTAGAATAGTAACTTAATAAAGATTATTGGGACAGCATTTGAAGTTTTATAAAATAAATATTTTAAAGAAAATACACTTCATTGAATAGAAAGCGTGGCTATCAAAAATACGCTAAACGTCGCAACTAATTTAGAATCGTTATTTCTTAATCAAGCCTTTAATCTGGTAACGTGTACTTTCTTTCAATTTAGTAATCACGATATTTAACTTTTTTTTTTCTATTTCAATCAATAAATGTAAAACTTACAAAGATATTTAAAATGATCAACGCTATATAAAGACAACAATTGCGGATATTTTTTGTCAGGCGCCATATAAATTGCAACGATAGAGCTGCATCTTTGAATTTTACGATTACTTAAGTCATTACCGTATAATATACTCTCATACAACCATACAATATTCTATATATTTATTTTATTACTATTATTCTATTATTAGCAATAAACGTTTGATGAAATTCACACATTAACATCGACAGAAGTTATTCGCAGGCGTTAGGAAATTGGTACTCTTTTCCTTGACATTTTTGATGATGGTGCTCAATACGAAAATGTGGTGGTGGGCCGCAAAACGTGTCTTAAAAATACTCAGGATGATGAGCGTGAAGGTACGGGCGGAATTTCGTATTCTGTCTAGAAAGTAAAAGTCAACTGCAAGTCCGAACAATAAATTCAATCGAACCCCACCCGAACATTGCGCCAAGCTGCTCGTAAAGTTACAGCAAGCTGGTGCAAGGAAAGGACCTTCCACTCAGATTTTGGAACAGTACTGGTGCGCCAATTATCTAAAACTTGATCATGTTGTTGTTTCTCTTTACTTTCTACTAGCTTATTCACCCGAGTTAATTTAAGACAAGGGACATATTTTTTTTAATATATATCAGGGGCACATGGGCTTACCTGATGTTTAGTGATACTGGCGCCCATAGACAATCATATTGCCAGAAGGCTCGGAAGTTGCCAGCTCTTTTCTTGAAGAACCAAAAGTTGAATTGGTCTAACAATACTTCAGTGGGCACATAGTAGTGGTGCGTGGCAAAAACTGCCTGAAGAAATGCTAAGTTCTGGAACGACGGACGTTGAGGTGATACGGATAGTATTTCGTATTCTGCCCTGACGTCTGATGATGAAACGCAGCTGCAGGTATTAATCAGCAGGTATGAACATCTCCTCTGAACACTCTCACATGGTAAATTCGGTAGAAGATTCAGAAAGATCCCACATTTCCACGCAACGCCAAGGGATCAAGCCGCTTAGAAAGTGACTGGTCGTCGACGATTCAAATCGCTCTTCATTGAATACGGTCAAGACATTTGTATATGCGCGCTTGGTATTTCACTTTTATATATCTTAAGATATTCATTTAAATAAAACAATATCGAGCAATATTGATTAAAATTACATAGCTGTGATGAGTGTATATTTACATACATACTAAATTACTAATCGTAATCAACTCTCTCTACGACATATCTCTTAACTCTAACTTTTACACCTGGCATAGTGTATCTATTTCTAGAATTAACTATATCTTCGGCCCGTCCTACAATTTTATATTTATAATTTTCCCTTTTTGGCGGTTTTTTCTCAGGAAAAACTTGTAACGAAGATCTGAAAATTTAATTGTTTAATGTTATTATTTTTTTCATATCAACGATCCTAAAGTGAAGAGAAAGTTTGCTTCCATAGTAGAAATGTAAAAAAGTGCTATCCTAACATTATATCTGTACGAGCCAAGGCTGTACATTTCGCTAACTCAGGCTTTCTTAGTTTTATAAGCGTGGCGATTTCCTGAATCGTCGGAGTTACGCCCCGAGAGTATAGCCAGACGTAAGCACTCTTCAACGGTTACATTGCATTCATTCGTTACATAGCAATTAACATTTCATAATTTCCCTTACATATTGTTGTAAGCGAGTGGTTAATATAGAATAGAAATAAAATCTTCTATTATTAAATCACACCGATGACCCAGGAACCGTACAATACCTGTAGCCAACATAAAAAACCCTTAGTCTGAGATTTCTATATCTCTCGTGATATTCAGTTTTCTTAATAGAGAAGTAGGTGATCAGCCTTCACACGCCGTCGACTATTTTGGGTATAAGGCTAGTTTCCTCGCGATGTTTTCCGTCACTTTACCAGCGAGTGTTAAATGCGCAATAAGACAGAAAAGTCTGTGGACAGCCGGGGTTAGAACCTACGACCTCAGGGAGCCCACCTATTTTATGGGAATAATGCATTTAGAATACATTTAAAGAAATTGCTTAGTGTTTTAGCTTAAGTAGTAATAGTTAGTGTTAGCAGCGACAATACTCTATCGATATTATGGCGCGTCTAAACGGGCCATGTTTTGCTGCAATTGATGGCTGCAACACTGTGGCCGGCAACATTGCAAACAATAGCAGCTACACTATGCAATATTGCAGTAATGTCCCGGCCATATAGCCAAACATGTTTTGTATAGCCACATATGGCCGATGTTGCCCCGATGGGTGGCCGGACGATCGCTAGGCTATCGAATTCAACTGCAATATTGCACAGCCAGTTCTCTTGCTGTTTCAGTCACTCTCTTTGTTATGGCATAGTGTATCCTTTTCTACGCGACATGACGTTTGCTTTGAGTGAAGTGTGCGTGTTGCTTTATTCTGTGTTTTGCGATCAGCTGTATTTGACGTTAGATTACTACATAAAAATGACATTCTAGTTCTTGAATAATTTATTATCAAGACTTATTTCTAGACTCAAATTGTCTACAGTTTCACGCCTATTTAAGTAAGGTCGAATCCACAATCTCTTCTTTTTCTGTTTCTTTTTTAAAACAATATAAGCTGCTGCGACAAGTGTGATTTCGTCAGCCATTGTTGCCGGTTTGTGTAGCCCGTTTAGGAGTCTGCATCATGGGCCATACTATTGCAGACATATTGCAACACATTGCCCAGCCATAGATTGTTCGGCCATCAGCTGCATTAAAATATTTTTGTAATGGCCGGGCAATTAGTGGCCAACAGTGCAGCCATCAATTGCAGCAAAACATGGCCCGTTTAGACGCGCCATTAAATAATAACGAATTAAATATATGGGTAAAAAAGAATTACATAACATACAGTTTTTTATGTTAATTAGGATGAACACTTATACTTAAAAAATATCTATATCATATATAATATGTCCTATCCATATTTTTTTAAGTTCGGAAATAAAAATATTATATATATTAATAACTATACTCATTACACTGTAACTATATTATAGTATAAAAAAGCAATATTTCATTGTTTTAACCAATAAAAAACAAATAAAGTTATCTAACTTTACCGTACTGTATATAGCTATTTTTATGTTAGTACCCAAAATGTTTATTTGTGTTATGGCGCGTCTAAACGGGCCATGTTTTGCTGCAATTGATGGCTGCAACACTGTGGCTGGCAACATTGCAAACAATAGCAGCCACACTATGCAATATTGCAGTAATGTCCCGGCCATATAGCCAAACATGTTTTGTATAGCCACATATGGCCGATGTTGCCCCGATGGGTGGCCGGACGATCGCTAGGCTATCGAATTCAACCGCAATATTGCACAGCCAGTTCTCTTGTTGTTTCAGTCACTCTCTTTGTTATGGCATAGTGTATCCTTTTCTACGCGACATGACGTTTGCTTTGAGTGAAGTGTGCGTGTTGCTTTATTCTGTGTTTTGCGATCAGCTGTATTTGACGTTAGATTACTACATAAAAATGACATTCTAGTTCTTGAATAATTTATTATCAAGACTTATTTCTAGACTCAAATTGTCTACAGTTTCACGCCTATTTAAGTAAGGTCGAATCCACAATCTCTTCTTTTTCTGTTTCTTTTTTAAAACAATATAAGCTGCTGCGACAAGTGTGATTTCGTCAGCCATTGTTGCCGGTTTGTGTAGCCCGTTTAGGAGTCTGCATCATGGGCCATACTATTGCAGACATATTGCAACACATTGCCCAGCCATAGATTGTTCGGCCATCAGCTGCACTAAAATATTTTTGTAATGGCCGGGCAATTAGTGGCCAACAGTGCAGCCATCAATTGCAGCAAAACATGGCCCGTTTAGACGCGCCATTATAAGAAGAAAGAAAATACATACACTATCCAAGAATCCTTTGAACTTTCTGGAGACCATCGTACCTTGTCAGGAACAATTTCCAAGCCGAAGGGTCATGCGCCATCATTGAGGCAACCACTCTCCCTGCATTTTCCTTCTGTTCTTTCGAGCATTTCGCACAGTCATCTTTTAGGGCCTCTATTAAAACACCTAAAACATATTTTTTTAATACCTAGCTTATTTAATCCAGCAACAATTTTATACCAAGATAATTAAAGTTAATAGAATCAATTTGCACTTAAATTGGGTTTTTGAAGTTATACTTCTTTAGGCGCGTTATGAAAAATTTATGAGAGTGAAATTTTACGATGCGCACCGTGACACAAAATTAACAGAATGAAGTTGCCCACGGAAGATGCTACGGCATTGAACATAATTTAAAAACAACATTCGAATAATAATAGAATTTATGTTACACTTAATGTAAGAGAATAATTAATATTTATTTATTTAATTTTTCAAATGTAAACTGAACTTTATTCACTATAATGACTCCTTTTCCAGTCTTTGATTATTATTTGCATGCAATCAAAAAATATTTTTAATAATGCCAAAGAAATGTATAACTTCTTACGCGCGTACATAAGTACACGCACCCTTTTTTCTTTAGCTTTAGATTTGATGCAAACAAATGTTGCATATAGGTCACCGTATCACTAGTATGTATATGTTAGGACCTCACCCATTTATGTCACTAGACAACTGAACATTTTATAGATGGAGTGCAATTCTAACACAGGCTAACAGGATATATTTAAATGCTTGAAAATACGATTTAACCGACCGACAAATCTTATACAAAAAATATATAAACATACTTTTCATCTCACGCATACTCTTCGAGCAATATCTGTCAACGGACATCAAGCATTTCACGTCCCCAGCGGGCAATGGGGGCAGCGCTTCGTTTAAATTGAACCTATTCTTCAAAGCGTTCATTTTCTCCTCATTTTTCACCACCTCGTTGTACACCTGAAAATCTTCGTCTCCATACACTAAATTATAACCGACACTTGTTACACCGTCACTCATGATTCTATCGATGCCTGGGGCTGTTATTTCAGCTGATAATATTTCTAGGAGGCTTAAAAACGGTAATAAACTCCACATTTTGAGTGCGACTTTGGGTGGGTTTGGTAAAGTAATGATGGTGATGAGGTATCGGTAGACGTAATGACATAAGATGTATTGCTTTCGCCTTGTCGGTATGCTAAAGATTGACAGTGGTTGGTAACTATTAGGATTTTATTTTCTACTAACGCCCCGCAAACTTCGTTTCGACTTATGATTTTTTTGCCTACCTTTTTAGTAGCTACATACATGTGGGGTACACAACAATGAAGTTCACGACCACCTTAAAATGAGAACTATCAAAGAGGAAATCTAACTGGCAGCTAAATTCAAAGAAAGTTTAAGCTGTCACCCGAACGAACTTGCTCGCAAACTCACCATTAGACAGTATGTGAGTCGACTAAAACGTCACCATATTCTAGAGATAGAAGACCGGCAGTAGCTCTAGGCAGAAGATGAGTATATGTTTCCAAATTCCAATGGGAAGTCACTCCACATGACAGCATCTCAGAACAGATTCGCTTATAGCCTGAGGGCTGATTGCAAATACCCGCAGAGAAAAAAAAACATAAATATTTTAATTTATTAGCATTTTATGTTCTAAGACATTTTTCGATGTTCTGGTTAAAACAGGTGATTTTTCCGTGCATTTTTTTCTAAATTTTATCTTCATAAAAACCAATAGAGTTCACGTAATACAAAACTAACTACTCGTTACTAATTAGTTCTGCCGTGTCCGAGTTTTGCTATTCATTTTTATTTATATAGATATTCTTTCAAATTATTAAGTAGCCTACAGCAGTGGGGCCGTTCCATTTGAGGTGGATTATAGTTCCTAGTCGAAGTCGAAACTCCTAGAAGATTAACTTAATATATTTATAGAATAAAGCAATATTAACTATTATTTACTCTTTTCCTACTATTTTTTACTAAACTTAAACAGTCAGATAAATTTTGTGGATATAACGCTCAACCCTACCTGTGTACCCGATGTTTAGAAGTTAGAAAAAAATAGAAAAAAAGGTTTTATGTAGCCTACAAAACCTCTGAGATTTTTTTTTTATCTTCGTCAGTTTTAGCTATTGTATATTTTAATTCAAAATGTTGGCTAGCCCTGATGTTTGTTTTATTCAGGGCGCACGATCTACGATTAAACAATCAACCTTCGTACGTGTGGCCGTAAATTCAAAACGTAAGCGTACAATAGCATTCTCGAGTGATTCATTACAATTGAAAGATGGCATTCTAAATATTATCAATCTCGTTACTTTTTTTTTTTTTTTTTTTTTTTACTTGGGAAATGCCTTGCGCATACCCTACCGCGGTGCGACTGCTTAGTGCGGGAGGGTTATGTGGGACTCGCGAATGTGCATACCCACTAAAACCCCAAGGCGCCACCAACAATCGCCTTAGGCGGGATGCGGTAACAGCAGAGCCTTATCCGCTTCCCGACATGCGATGCGGCAGTTGTGTCCGCCTCTCCCCGCCCATTGTTGATTTGTCAAGATACTTGACACAGCAAGTATCCTTCACAGATCGGGCCATACGCTTTTAGGAATAGCTAGGGGAGATCGGGTCCAGTGCTTGCAGGGATGGATCACCATCCCTTCTATTGAACGCATGGACCCCTGCTTCCCCGCTTGGGCACTCTTTAGGTGCCGAGGATTTGACGGGCCTGCGGTTTCTTTCGCCGCCGCGGACGGGTTCCGGGACAAAGCTCCCTGGTTCTTCCCGCTTCTTCTTTGACTTTCATGACCGACTCGCAGAAATTATAGAAGATTTTCCACGAGCCGTCATTTCCTGCGCTCAATATGGCTTTCACTACGTTTGGCAGTATTGCGTCCTCGCCCTGGAGAGCATCTAACAAAGGTCTCCTTTCCACTTCCCATGCTGGGCAGTCCCTCAGTGTATGCAGGGCGTCGTCCCGGTTGTCTCCGACACAGTGGTGACAGGTTGGTGACTCCTCACACCCTACTACTTTGTGCAGATAACTACCAAAGCATCCGTGTCCGGACAGCATCTGCACAAGTCGATAGCTGAGGTGACCCCAGCGCCTCTTTACCCAAAGTTGAAGCAAAGGTCTGAGGGCTTCGGTAGTATATTTACCGGCACTCGCACCCGCCAGCTCGCTTTCCCACTCTACTAACAATTGCTGGTCTTCTAAGGCTCGCCACGCGTTTAATTGTTCCAGTGTGGGGTTATCCCCTTTATCCCGAGCTTCGGCCCTCCTCCAATATACTTCGCTAAAAGCAGCCGCATCGAGGTGCCATGGCGCTGTACCGGCTATAACATACACTGCGTCATAAGACACAGTGCGGTACGCCCTCGCAACCCTGGCAGCGACCACTCGCTGCGACTGCCTGAGTATTGCGCGATTGTACCCGGTCAGTTTGTCGGCCCATATGGGACACCCGTACAGTGCTTTTGCCCGGATCGCATTAGCGTATAAGAGGCGACACCCCCCACTCGGCCCGCCGAGGTTTGGCATTATGCGCGAGAGCATGTTTGCGGTGGCGGTGAGCTTAGGGGCAAGTGCCACGAAGTGTGGTCTGAAAGTCCACCGTGGGTCAAGAATCAGCCCAAGGTATTTGAGCGTGGTACCGACCCGGATAGCTACTCCGCCGACAATGATGTCTGCGTCTTGAGGTGGAGCTTTTCTGTGGCCGTAGAAGCATATAGCTTCTGATTTCTGAAGGGCGACAACAAGGCCGAGCTTCTTGATTTCAGAAACCACCCTAGCTACTCCAGCTGTCGCTCGGAGGCGCGCTTCCTTAAAATTTTCTCCAATAGCGACCACGAGGGTGTCGTCTGCATAGCATATAGTTGACACTCCAGGGACTAGTTTCGCTCGCAGCACCCTATCGTAACCTATGTTCCAAAGAAGGGGGCCAAGAACCGAACCTTGTGGGACGCCGCACTTGATGAGGTGACTCCCTATGCCATTTTGTTTCGGGAAGATAACCCGGCGGCCGTTGAGGTACGATGCTACACATTTTCTTATATAGGCCGGTAAGCCGTGGTGGCGCAGGCCGTCCGCGATACAGTCCCATGGTAAGGAATTGAAAGCGTTCGCGATGTCTAACGATACCGCGAAAACCACTCTGCCCCGTGACACCTGCTCCTCGCAGACGCTTCGCAGGCGCGCAATTGTGTCGATCGTTGACCTATGTTTCCGGAAGCCGAATTGAGCCTCATGTATGTTTGGTCCTATAGTTTCCAAATGATTGTAAATCCGACCGGCAATAATACGCTCGAAGAGCTTGCCGGCTTCATCTAGGAGAACTATAGGTCGATACGCTGATGGTGACTCTGGAGGTTTTCCACCTTTTTTAGAAGAACTAGCAACCCAGTCTTCCATGTTGACGGAAAGAGGCCATTTCTAAGACATTCCGTGAGGAGGCCTCGAAAGCGCATGTCAAGACCAGCGTCGAGGGCCAGAGCTACCACTCGTCCGTGCATGCCATCGGGACCAGGTGCAGTTTTTTTAGTGGTCATGCGCGCTATTGCTGTCTTCAGCTCCGAAGGAGATACTTCAGACACTGTGACACTGTGTTCCGTAGTCGTCTCATGTGGGGAGCTCAGGGCGTCGCGTTCAGGAAAAGTTCCGCCACCACTGTGCTGAGCAGTTCCGGCTCCATGTTTTTCGTGAGTGGCGGGGCCCACGAGCGCAGCTTGTTTGTGACAATCTGATACGGGCGTCCCCAGGGATCCCGCTCCAGGGTGTCAAGCAGTTCTTGCCATGCTTTCTTTTTTGCTTCGGCGATACCTATTCGCAGCGCCAGTTTTGCATCTCGGTATACGCTATATGCTTGTTTTTCCTCTTCTATGCGAATTGGTCGCCTTCTGCGAGTCCTGGTGTAGCCTCGACGAGCTGCTACACAAGCTACCCGCAACTGGGCGAGTTCTGCCGACCACCAGAATACACTGGTCCGGTGAGCTCCAGGGCGTCTTCTTTGCATTGCGGCATCCGCGACGCAAGTCATTGCGCCACGAAACCACTCTGCCTCTTCCTCTGGATTTACGGAGGCTGGGATCGGGCACCAGGCCTGCATAATCGTAGCCAATTCCGCCTGTTCCTTGTTAAGACTCCCAAGTGCCCATTTTGGGCCAGTTCTGACGGGTCCGAGCTAGGCTTGGCCGACGGAGAGAGAGTGCGGAAGCGGATATACCGGTGGTCCGAAAGCGTCTCAACCCCCGTCAGGACCTCCCAGTCCTGAACACAGCACGAGAGATGGGGGCTCGTGAAAGTCACATCCACAATCGATTCTCCGTTTGTTCGAACACACGTAGCTTCAGAGCCCCTGTTGGCCACTACCAAACAGTGCGCTGCTGCCCAGTCCACCAACGCTTTTCCTCGTGGGCTGGACATCTGTGAAACCCAGGCCACAGACTTTGCATTCAGATCCCCAGCGATGACTAAATGTCTCGGGTGACTCCATTGCACCAGGCTTCCCAGTTCGTTTAGGAAGGCCTCAAATTCAGCCAGCGAGCGATTGGGGGAGAAGTACGTACTCGCGATACACATTTTGCTTCCCAACTTTGCTGCCACATAGCCGTGGCCTTTTCGAACTGGGCCAATGCAGGGCGAGCCGTCTGCTGGTGTAACGATAATTGCGGCCAGACCGTCGAGGTCGCCAACCCAGTTCGTTTTTTCGGGTATGGAGTAGGGCTCGGAAATTATACCTATGTTGATATTCCACTGCGCCAGACTCTGGTACAGTAGGTCTTGTGCAGCAGCGCAATGGTTAAGGTTGCTCTGGAGAAACCGTAGGGCCATGTTAATTTGCTGCGGTGCTATAACCTCCATACGCGCATTGTTACGCGGAGACTTGGCGGGCGTCTTTTTTTTAGGTGACGAGCGGCGCCTGGGTACCTTCACACTGGGAGCTGTGCAGCTGTTGCCACCTAGCCTGTGATCCGCTTTCCTACCGGCCTCGTCGCAGAGTAGGCACTTGGGTTTTTCACTGCAGGAGGCTGCCCTGTGACCGGCTTGACCGCAGCGAAAACACAGTTGGCTACTATCAGTATCGGACATGCAG